CTCTTCTGTACCAAGAGTGCCCTCTGAGGCGCACTGACCGATGCGGGCTGCGCAGTCCTCCCAGACGTTTGAGAGCGCGATTCTGGCACGAAGGGATTCTCCTTTCCGCCACAGGGGCTCTGTCCTGAACTCTCCTGGGCTTGTGCACATGCATTCCAACCTGAGCCCTGCCCACCTCTTTCTTTGCAGCCAGGCCTCCCTCTCTTCCCTTGGAAGCCAAGCAGCGGCTGCAGAGCGGCAGGTCCACCTGCCAGCCCTCATTCTCACCTGGCTGATCCAGCATTGCTGAGGCCTCCCCCCCACCCCCCACTTGTCTCAAGTGGCAGCCACACACCTCCTTTTCATGTTGCTGGGGACAGTACCCCTTTGCTTTCCAGGAAAGCTCCTCAGTCCCACTGCAACCCTGCAAGTCCTTGGGTTCCCCTTGGAACACAAATGAATCTCTTTGGTAACTCCCACGAAACAAACCTTGGGGGATTTTCTGTGTGTCGGTTCTCTACATCATTCAACCACTAAATTTTTAAAGTTCAAAACAAATAATTCCTTACTGCCCGTGCAGCCACAAAAATCCTCAATCCTGTTTAAGCCATTTGCAGCAGAATGTTCTTCCTTGTGGCACAGAGACTTCACACCTCTAAAGGGTCCCGGTTCTTGACATGCCTTCCAGCTTCCCTGAATCTGCGGCACTGGCCATGCAGGCAGCTGCCACGTGGGCTTCCCCTCCTTTCCGGCCACTGACCTTCCCTGGATCCAAAGCAGCCCCTTCTGTCCCCGAGAGGGGCTCTCCATTGGCCCTAACAGCTTCCCAGGCAGTAACAGGCCGACATGCCCAGAGGGGCTTCCAGCTTGAGAAACAGGCGGAGTCCCAAAAATTGGCCGGGAACAGTATGAATGCTGCATGGAAGGTGAAAGGGGGTAAGTGGGTGAAGGAGCAGCTATAAGCAGGAGTCCCTGTCATTGCCCTGCCAGCTCTCCACTTCGGGGGAAATCTAATAGCTTCTGCTGCAGAAGAACGGGGAATCTGTCCTGCAGCTTGCAACAGGCCAGATATAAATGCTTCGCCTCTTGTGCTGGGAAGGACATGGACAAGAAATGCCCTGGCTAGAAAGAGGAGGCTCTGGTCCTGCCGAGCTGGGCTGCAGCGGGAGGGTTTGGGGCATGGAGGCCATTAATCACATCCCCAGACAAGCTATTGAGCTGTCTGTGGAAAACAGGAACAGTTCCCACAGAATGCACTGCTTGCGGGCCCTGATGGATAGAGTGAGATGATGCAAAGCTGTCTGATGCCCCTCTGCAAAGTAAAGCAGAAGAACGCAAGGTCTTTCATGACAGTCTCTGACCACAGATGAACAGCTACTTTATTACAGCACAGAAAAAGGTTGCACCTTGCTCCAGACTTGGCTGCCTTCCGCTGCACACAGTTAACTTCCCAGCCACCCACCATGTATTGACATGCCTGCTGTCCTTTTAGGATTTAAAGGGACAGCCGATGTTGCCCTCCCCTCTTCCCCTTAACGGCAAGTCTTGGAAATAATAATCTAGATACACAATCGGTTAAACCCACTGTTTTGTTGCTGCTCCTTTTCCCATTTTCATGGTGGGGAAGAATGCCCTTTGCTTTCCCCCGGGGCTTGCCTTTCCCTGCCTTTCTACGTATTCTGTTAACCAACCAGAAGGTGGCGCCACAGTACACCAAAGCAGAACCGCAACTTACCCCAAGGCTTTTGCCCTGGGATTTTGCCATTAGAAATGTAATACCAGACTTTCCTCTCTCCTAAAAGCCTGGCTAAGAGGGCTAGAAAAGGTGGGAGAGGCTCTGGGGGATGCCAATGCTGTGAATGGCCTCACAAACTTCACAAAATTCCTAAAGGAACTTGTGGCGTCACTGTGAAAGTCTGCCTGTAGCCTATTAGGCATGCTTTATCTGAAGCGCTCCACATTCGTACTGCAAAAAACAAGTTAGCCGCTGAATTAATTGCTTATGAGTAATTTCCTGATATTGCTAATGTGATGCCTAATTAAATCGTGTTTGTGTTTTCTAACCATTGCGTTCCATTTGAAGAGGGAGGAATTGCCAGATGTTTTAGCTGGGATTGTTCAATAGATATGATTGCTGGGGGGTTTTACACTGCTTGGTTCTGGAAAGCACAGGAGTGGGCAGAGCAGCCTTCAGGTGGTGCGTTGATCTTGCAGTGCAGGAGCATCCCAGTACCACCTCAAGCCTCATCTGGGGAAGGGTCCTTCCCACAGGGGCTGGACTGCCCACTCCAGGTTCTCTGCCTAGTGCATGCATCAAGAACGCAGAGCTCTCAGAATAAGAACCGGGACCAGAGCTGAGAAATATGGAACTGGAAAAGGGATATTACCTGATCTGCAAGTCTACAACAAAAGCGGCTCGCCGAAGCGTCACTGGAGATGGTTCCTGAGAATAGCAGCACCAGCGGCGGAAAGGCCAGGATCCAAGCCACCCAGGTGCTGCAACAGGCCACCGGTCACCTCTGCAAGGCGCAGGCCTTCCGATGGCTCAAGGCAGCATGTTTAGAAGCAGCCCTGAGCACGAAAAGCCGTGCATGCACATGTACCCGCAAAAGCTGCAGCCTGACCTGGCAGAAGACGACAGCGTGGGCGGGATGGGGCCAAAGCCCCCAGTGCAGTCCCAGAAGCTCTCACTCCGCGGCCTCTGTCCAGGCTCGGCTCCCCCACCAGGGCACAAACAGAAGGGGGAGGCACCCTGGGGCACTCACCCAGACCGGAGCTCCTCTACTGAGCTAGTTTCACACAAACCCCCAGGAAGGTCCTTCTGAAGACAAAGGTCAACGGGAGACCTTCCTCTGCAGATGAGAGCGTGTCCCCTAGGTGAGCAACACTAGGCAGTGGCGCTGCAAGGAAATGCCTTCCACGGGGGTCTTGAGCGATATCCTAGCAGCATCTTATCCTTTGCAATGTTTTGGATGAGTCTGGGATGGCGCCAGTACAATTGGATTCTGTGTAAAAATACGCAATAAATCTGATTTCTGTTGCATTAAGGGGTTCTCGGGTAAAACGCATGAAGCAAAGAATGAAATAAGCGGCAGTCCTACAGAGTCTTCCAGTTCACTTCCTTCAATACTTGACCACTAATATTAGAGAATATTGGATCAAGGTAGAGTTCTAAATGAACGTCTATGAGATAATACAGTAGCCAAGTCAAACCACAGGTTAGATGATAAAATACGAAATTGAGTTGCCTCCATTTCCAGGAAAGGGTTGAAATTTGAAGCATCGTCCTAATGGTCTCAGAGCTGCATATGCCAGAGGGGAGAGAGACTGTGTGCGTGAGCACCCGGCACGGACCTCCAGCACCCAGTGCTCTCGGGGCTGCCAAGGAACCTCCTCCCATCTGCTTTTGCCCGGCCAGCCAAGCCGGTGGCAATCTCCGCATCGGGGGCAGCTGCGATCCCACACACCACGACACGCCCTGCGAATGAGAGCCCCGGCAGTCCAGAGGGAAGGCTCTGCTGCCGCCAAGCATGGGTTCCCTGGGAGCTTTTCCCGGAAGCCAGCCTGAGAGGGGCCCCTGCTCAGTTCACCAGGGTAGATGCCCCCCAGCTGCTGCTTTCAAAAGGCTGAGGGAGAGAGGGGATCTGTTGCCCAGAACTGGTGGGAGTTCGTGGATGGGGCTTGTGGACTGTTCACACCAACTTCACTTCTCCCCCTCTAATTTGAAAACAGGCTTGGAGAGCAGATGCTTGGAGCTCGTTTTGGCCGACGCAGCAAGATTCATTTAACGTACCATTAACGTGAAGATTCAGAAGATCCATGCCAAGTTGGCCTAAGGGGTTCTCGTGCAAAGAGCAAATGGAGGGAAAGAGCGTCTAACTCGGGCACCCCCACGAGCGCTCGGAGGCCCCTGTCAACGCAGCATGGACCCTGCTGTGAAGACGTCGCACCCAAATCCAGGTGGCAGAACCCCAGTGCACAAGCTTCGCTGAAGCCCCTCCCCCCCCCCCCCCGAGGTGGCAGCAACCTGAGCACCCTCAGGCTGCAACCCCATGCGTGCCTTCTTATAGCAAGCCTCATCAGAGCAGTGGCAGGTGCGCCAAAGAATGCGTAGCCCTAGCTGTGCATGAAGTACAGTAGACAGCCTTTTTCCAAACAAACTGGCGTAGATTTCAGGTAAGAAAGACAGAAGGTGGGGGAGATCCGGTGTAAAGAGAACAGCCTGACACACGGCCTCGGTTCTGGCGCTGTCACCGTCCTCTCGCTCACAGAGAGCCACATTCTTTATGGCTTCAGAAAAGGGGGGACCTTTTGAGATTCCTGGAACAGGGCATGCTAGTCACAAATTTTCATGACAGACACACGCACACCATGAGATTATAAATTAGCTACCACAGAGAAGGCTCACTAATAAGATTGGATGTAAACTTTGGGTCACTTAATTTTAAGGCTCAGCTAATGGGCCAAAGAAAATTGGATATCACCTCATAACATAAATTCAGATTCAAGCTTTCCTACACCATTAAAAGTTACAGCAACTAGGTCTGCTGTAAAATTAAATGATCCAACTGTAAAACTCATTTCCACAGTGGGATTCTTCTATACCCAAGTATAAAGAGTCCACATTTCATATTATGCAGTCACCAAATGGGAGCTGTACATTTTTTATATATGTTTGCTCTCGTGGATAAAATATAAATCTGGAAATGTTGGCTCATTCCCATAAATTTGTAGATCATGAATGTTATCTATAAAATGAAATGGATCTGTTGTTTCCTATCCTGTTTCCAGTAAGTCACTGACATACCATAAGGAATGAATACTGGAAGCATTTCGCACAAGCATACGCAGCCACACCCATTCTGTGCGTACCTGAAGCGTGCAAACAGGCAGGACCACCGGAGTAGCTGCCCAGGTGGGTGGAAGCGGTGGGATCCGCAGCAGCGCCAACGCAGGGGCCTGCCTGGCAGGCTTGTCCCCCTCGCCTAGCCCTTAGCCCCACCAGCAGCTGTGACCCTTACCCAGCAAGGGGTGGCTCCTTTTCGCCTCTGGCTGGTCAGTCTTGGGCTCCTCCTCACTGGCAGGTGCCTGCCTGTGGCCGTTCGGCAACATCCTCCGCTGGTTCCTCATGCCCCACTGAACTTCGGCCAGCAAGGCGGCTTGGATGGCCTCAGTCATCTGCCGGAGATGGTGATTACTGGTGAGGAGGGTGGCCGGCCATGGTTAAAACCCGAAAACAGCCCTGTTCCTAGCTCTGCTGCGTGCCTCCCACACGCCCCCTCTCCCAGGCACAGCTTCCGGGCAGGAAGGAGGGGGAGTGCTTCTTCTCCCCATGCTCAGTTCGGGGGAAAGCCGAGGGTGGCGGGGGGAGGCCAGGCCTGGCGGGGCAGATCTGCCCTTGACCCTGCCATCCTCTCGGGTCATGGCCTCTGCGAGGGATCAGAGAGGAGAGTGGGGGAGCTGCAGCGTGCTGCAACTGGAAGGGGCCGAGGAGGGGAGGGGAGGGGAGGGGGCCACCCTCTGATGGGCCGGCTGAGCCTTTTTCAGCCACCTGCTCTTCCAGCACAGCCAGTTGTCACTGTCCTCTGTCTTCTAACGTGTCAAAAGCTACCACACACCTAGGCATTCGGGAGACAATGCCCACACTCCCCTCCTGACTGGCTTCCCGTCTGCAGGCCATGCCTGGGACACATGCTCTTCCTTTGCATGACAGAGGCTCTCTCTCCTCTCCGGATGCATCTTCTGTGCAGCAGGAGCACCATCTGTGAGCCCCAGCCGGACTGAAATGCCCCAGCCCAGCCATGCTCTGAGGAGCAGCTCCCGTGTGGGCCAGCTGGCCCTGACCCAAGGCAGAGGCCAGGGGCTACAGCCCCCCTGCCACCCCAGTGCCCCACAGCCAGCTTGCTGCAGCAGCTTCCTCCCTCACAGGGGCTGAAGCTCCCCTCGCACTGGTGCCAGATGCCACCCCAGTTAATCCAGGAATTGCACCCCGCGCCTCAGGTCTAGTGGGGCTCCTCCATCAGCGATCAAGAAACGTAGCCAGCCAGAATGCCAGGCTGCCGTGAGTCCCTCCGATATGCCCACAAAGGTCTGCGTGCACATGGGAATGAAGACAGGCGGGGCAGCCGGGCAATCCAGGTGTGCTACCCATCTGAGGTCCTTCCCGCTGTGCCGTTCGGAAGGCATCCAAACCGCGGTGACCTTGTTCGGGCTTCCTGAAACACTGCGGATCAAGCCCTGTGGCTAATACCCATTTCCTACCTGTATGGACTGGTCTCTCCAGCAAGAAATAAGTCTAACCAGTGAAGCATTATCCAATCCATGAGCAGAAAAACCAAATGGGCCTGAAAAATATACAGAAAATTCTGTGTCCAGTAACATGCAGTCTAAAGAGGATAAACACCCAAACCAAACATCCCAGTGGCTCTGTCAGAGATGACTGGAAGAAGAGAAGGGGGGGGGTTTACAAAGGGCACTTGACCTGTTAACCCTTTACAACCGAACAGGAAACTCACCCCCAATTTAACAATCCTGATATCGTTGACTATGCTTGCACTTTCTGTTTGTAGGATACGTCACATTGAAGGAGATGCAGGGCCCTGTTTTAAAAGGGGAGTTCTGCTCCCCAGGTTAAGATTCATTCCATGGTATGATACAACATCCATAAGGGCCCCCAACAAATTATTATTGCCCAAGTTATGCCTGTAATTCTGAGTATCATTTCCCCTGCTTTGAAATACCAAAATAGCTTATTTATTTTATTTTCACCAGAAATTTGGGAAAATTTGGGATCACTTCAGTTTATTTTCAGTAAGAATTTATCAAAGTCTGAAAATTTCTTCTTTTCAGAAGGGAAGAAGCTGAAATTCGAAAGTGTTGAATGTGGGGGAAACTGACGATTCCATCCATTCAGTCTTACTGGTACCTATTTTTCAACTAAGCAATACTTCAAGGTACAGTTGGAACAAATATGAATTGTCTACACTCATTATATAAAGCTACATGGGAGCCAGTGTGGTGTGGTGGTTAAGAGCATGGGACTGGGACTCAGACGACCTGGGTTCTAGTCCCCACTCAGCCATGAAGCCAACTGGGTGACTTTGGGCCAGTCACGGACGCTCAGCCCAACCTACCTCACAGGGTTGTTGTTGTGGGGATAAGATGGAGGAGGAGATGTAAGCTGCCTTGAGCCCTTTGTAGGAAAAAGGCAGGATATAAATCCATAAATAAATAAATACATGGAAAGGAGAGCAGTGAGGGACCCCAGGGGGTGTTCGCACTGCTAAGGCAGGATGTCAAGAGAAAAAGATGGTGGGAGGAAGAGGCAGCGGGGGCGGGGGGACTCTTCTCTGGTGCACCCACAGGAGAAAGCCAGCAGGGCCAGGGAGCAAAAGTCTGGCTTGGCTTAAAAGGCGGGAGCTGGTCCCGGCTGACGCAGCCGAGCACCCTGAGGTGCGCAGCACTTCCTACGCTCCCATCGTCAAGACAAGCTGGACTTGCTTTTAAATCCATGATTCCTGACACAGAACACTGACCAGGAAAGGAAAACAAATCCTTGCAAGGGCTGAGCAATGCTCCGTGAAAATCAGAATGAGGCGTGTGCACGGCTCTGCAGCTCACCCAGCGTGTGCTGGCTTCGGGCCCACAACACAAAGTTCTCCCAGGAAGCTCAAGATCCCTGATGGATGTCAATTCGTATTCGTTATGGAAGGGGGAACTTCGTTATCTGAATCCACCCAAAGCATCGTCCGTCTCGGATGCAATTCTGCTCTTCCCCAAAGCATGTGGCAGCTCTCTGGCTGGCTTTGCTGCTAAAGTGCCTTTGGTCAGCTGTGACAGCAGACTTGTGCTTCTTCCAGAGAAGGCTTGCCAAACCCAGGAACTGAGGGTATGGTTTCATTCCACCCCTGAGGCCAATTCTGCTACCACAATAAAAAAAACCAAGCACTTCTTTCGTGCGATGCCCAGAGAGCTTTTGGGTGGCACTCAAATGAAATAAATAATAACAATTATAATCAAATGGACTTTAGTTTAGGCCAGAATCAATATCTTAGGTGCTGCAAGATGCTTTGATTAAAGCAAACTAACAAACAGCAGTGAAAATGCAAAACCAAGACCTGATTACGGGTCAGATGTCTGGCTGTGCTGGGGTTGAGAGGAAGCATAATTTGGGGTGCAACAGAAATTCTTTGCTATTGCGGTGGATGTGGCTGCACAACACTGCAGAAAATGGGCTTTCACAAATTCTCAGCACTGTTCTCTCTATAAGCAGGACGCGTGTACACTAAAAATATTTTTGCATTAAAACAGATGATAACAGATGTTTCAGTGGGGATCAGAAAAGTACAGCAACTCCTGCAGGCCTCAGGGACAAAAATGATCCAGCCTGGTGCAGCACAACCTGTGGCTGCTGGTGGGTGTGGGGCTTCTGCTTTGCCCCTGCAGACCCCCCATGGGAACCCCTTGGGCAGGGCCCAGGTTGGTTCTAAGCAAAGAGGGGCAGCTGTGACACCCTCCAGCAAGGGCCTGGGAGGTCGCTTTGGCACTCAGGCAGTCTGAGCACGCTCAGTCAAGGATGAAGGGAAGGTTCCCCAGTGTGCTGGGCGTCCTCTCCTGCCACACCTAGAAAGCCCACAGCAACGCTGTCTTCTCATCTCCTGTTACTCACATCCAGCCGGCTCATCAGAAGCACTGGCAGTCCCCAGGGAAGGCCCGGGCCTCCTCTTGCTGCGTGCGGACTCGGGTTTCTGTGGACTGAAGACAGGTGTTGTCACTGCTCAGGGGGATCAGTGCGTGCAGCAAGCCGCCTCTGACTGTGCCAGACAGCTGGAGAGGGGAACCCTCCCTCTTCAGGAGTAGCTGTTGTTGGGGAGCCGGGCATTCTGCACACCCCTCCCAGAAGCCACGGCCGGAACTGTTTGTCCCGGGGGGCTGGAGAAGGCCGCAGGATCACCTTCTCAAAGCAGAAAGGTCAGCCCAGAATATGTTAAAATGCAGCTGATGTGAAAGCGCCGGGCCCTTTGGCACCCGCAGCCCCCAAATGTGGCCCAAGACAGACCACGATGACGAGAGTCCAACACAGGTGGCATATCTCGTTGCACACCTGCTGCGGCAGAGGGATGGGGGGGCAACCCTGAATGGGGCCCGGCTTGGCTTCTGGCAGCGCTCAGCCTCCGTGCTCGCCTGGGAGGGATGAGGTACAAGCTGGCTGCCTTTATTGTGAATGGGAGCACTGCCATTTATTCCACCAAGGAAGAAATGAGCGGGCGTCGCATTTGCTTGAGTCCTCCGTGATACCAATTTAGAAGACTTTTGGCACATCAACCACTGCCTTAGACGCTGTTCCAAAGAGTATCATTGACATCAAAAGCCAAGCTGCACAAAGGAGTAATCCAATAAAAGTAAAAGTAATCCAATAAAGCTGGATTGTAGCACAAGCAGGGAAACAAAACTTCTAGTTTCCCAAAGAGCGATCTAGTGGGCCCTTCTCCTGCCCTATCAGGCCATAAGATCCCTTTCTTGATCAGCCACTCCTAGCTCAGATCCCATCAGCCTGCACTTGAATTGGAGATGGTTTGCCCCAACATGCATTAATTTACATCTGCTAACATTGAACAGCATCTGCCATCTTGATGCCAATTCTCCCAGCCTGGAGAGATCCCTTTGGAGCTCCCCACAATTCCTTTTGCTTTTAACATAATCTCCTTTTTTTTATAGGGGGAAGTTAGAAAGGAGAAGTCCTTACCTTGTGTTTTCTAAAGGCCTGCTGATTATCCTTTGAACCAAACATATCCTGCTCAGTAAGTAGACCAGAGTGCTTGACCTGTCGGTGGTGCAAGTGCTTTTTCTTCTCTGCTCTTGGACCACTCCAATGTACTTATTACACAGATCCAGCACTTTGCTGGAAAATAAGTTGACTGCTTTGTGCTGCTGTTCCACCATCACCAGATTAGCACTGCCCCACCCTGGCAACATCAGAGAAAGGCGGTTGTCTTTTGAAATTAGTCCGAATGAGACTGGATAAAGAAGTCTTAAGATATCCAAGTCCCGAACGCAGAGATCATCCAACTCTCTGTCCACACCCCAGGGCAAGAGGCAAGATAAGAGGAGCTTTGCTGCATCTGTGGTGACATTCAGATTGACTTTTCCTGGCTGCTGCCTCCTAACCTTTTTGGAGCTTTTGGCTTTTTTGTGTCTTTTGATGCCGCCACTTTGTTCTGAAGATCTAAGTACACTGTTCTCCCCAAAGATTTGCTCTTCACTAGCCATTTGAACTTGCCCATCCAGCGGTGTGAGCGACGCAGAGGTTCTATTTCGTTTTAACATCAGTGTCCTTTTTTCAGCTGTGCTTTTCGCTCTCTTCAAAGTGTCATAGCTGTGGAATGAGCTGGATGCTTTTAGTCCATTGAGCGGAGCAGACTGCAGCACTTCTACTAGTTTTTCCAAATCAAATAGGAGTACATGAAAATTTGTGTTCCCCCATTTTGTCTTCACTGGCAAGATGGTAAAAGGCCACTGGGGAAGGCAGGCAGCAGGGAGCTGAAAAATAACGTAACAAAAGCAACTTTTATCCTACTCTTCTACTAAAAGTACCTACAGTGGCATGCAACGTAATCATAAAACACATAATAAATATGTACATTTAAAAAACTTCATTAACTGATAGTCACTAAATTCACTGCATTTGTCAAATGCTACAGTACTCAGGCTTATACATATTCAATTCAACCACATGGAAGTATATAATTAATAAACTGTTTCAAACTCAGCATCCCAATCATATCAAAGTTGCAACTAAGAAAGACATGAGGATGCCCCATTTTATTTATGGGAACACCGGACCCTTCTTCAAAAGATTGCTTGGGGCAGCTAAAGTAAGCAGACTGAATAACAACCAGCAGAGTTACATAGGACCTGTTGGAGCACCAGCTGCGACCAGCTGTGTCAGGCACCCACCTGTATGGGGCATGCAGACTGCAGGGAGAAACCTCTGTCTGGTATAAAGGATATGGATGTGATATGTTACCTGGTTAGTGTAGCAGAGAGCTGGGATCCAGCTGGCAATTGTGGAGCAGGTCTGTCTCAGTGATGCAGGCTAATATATCCTGAGAAGCAAAGTTAGGTTTCTAGGTAGGAAGCTGAAATCCAGGCCTTCCAAAGTAACTTTCAACCTGCTCCATGTGTTGAGACAGCTCAACATGTGAAGCTGAGAAGTCTCCATGTATGGATGAGATGAATGTACAGTGAGGAGGGAGGTTAGATGTTTTAGCTACTGGGACATTTTTGAACGAGCCAGGCCTGTGCAAAACAGGAGGCCCCCTTTTGAACCAGGATGGAATCAAACAGCTAGCACCTGGTATAAAAAAGGGGGAGCACAGCTTTGCAAGCGAACCCTTGGGGAAGCTAAGAGGAACTGTGGGGCATTCACTGAGAGCTGAACCATTCCTCAGAGGACGAGTGAAAAAGCTGAATGTACCCAGGCACATTTGGAAAGAGACATGGCGCAAGAGTGTTTCTGTGTTCGTGCTGAAAGCCTCTGGGTGAGGGCACTGGAGCTGGCCTGCCTAGTTTTGAGGGAAAACACAGACCATGTGTGTATAATGGGAAGCTGCCAGAACCTGGAGAACCAGCAGGATCCAGTAACCTCCACATATAAACAGAATACAAACTGGGGGGATCTAGTCAACTTGCCCCTGGAAGTTCCCACGCTGCTGTGCCCTGCCGAAGACCACCCATCTGTCGACCCATTCGGGTCTCTGGGCCACCTCATCGCTTTTCCTGCCCCCTTTCCGGAAGTGCTGCCTGTGCAAGAGCTTTGAAAGCTGCAGTTTGCCATTTCACTCAACCTTCAGCCTTCTCACAATTCTTTGTGGATCGACATCCTTCCAGTTCGTATCAAAAGTTTCTCACCGTGAGCCACCAGTTTCTCATCTACAGACTCAGTAGAAAATGGATAAAAGTGCTTTCAGACTCCGTTGTTGTCGACAGGCGTAAATAAAGGCGCCTGGGCAACGCCAGGGGGAAGCCCCCCTTGCACTGGGGGTGTGCTGACCTCTCCCTCTAATGGAGAGTGGGCACACGGCTTTCTTTGCGATGCTACCGCATGATCCTATTTGTTGGCTCCCTTGTGGAAAGCGAGAGCTTTGGTTGCTCCCTCTGCACTTCTTTTTCGCACTGATCCCACCACGGGATGCCTCCTGCCTTCAGAGTTCAAATACTCTGCTTCCTAATGGACACGTGCACTTTAAGTGGGCCATGGTCAGCTTCTTAGAAGCCAGTGAATCCCAGCTGCAAAATGCCTTGAGAGAGGAAAAGGTCAGCTGGCAAAAAAGGGTTTCCACTATGTTCCGCATAAAATGTTTATATGGAGAGTCCGGCTTAGACCAGCCAAGGTTAATGGCACATACTGCTGTATTTAGGGATGGAGGAGGGGAGCAGTGGCTGGGCCTTCTCCCTCTGCCAAGGCTCCTCCTCTGCTTTCTTGCCAAACCCACAGTAAGTACAGCAGAAATGGATGGCTCTTGTTGAATGCCATGCGCGAGACTCCCAGTGAGGAGGAACTGAGCTGGAAGGAAAGGGATCTTCTGCCAGCACAGCCTTCTGCACTGTTCTCCCAGATGATCTTCATCTCACAATTAAAACGCCAGGAGCGTTTCACTATTCCTGACAGTTTAGTTCAGCCCGTTTATGGAAAGCAGTTTCCAGACCCTTTACCTGCAGCCCTGTAACCCCCTAGCAGCTGTGGCTCGCACCAAAGGATGCCATTTTCTCTGCGGAACAAACAGGTCACCCATGTTGCTCCAGGCAAATAGGAGAGCAGCCATTTCCTAACACAACTTTTTATGTATTTCATGCATGCCTTGCCCTTTAACAGAAAGGGCTTCTCCTGGCTGGGAACTGAGCTGGAACCATCTCCATGTGAAGCCTCTGCTCTGCTCTGGTGAGCCATCTCTCCGCCCGGGCATGATGCTGGTGTCCTTCCTGCCTTCCACGGGCAGGATGTCGTTCATTTTGAGGAACGTTCCACAGTGCATCCCTCCCCACAGTGATGCGGTTACTTGCCATCAAGTCATCTCCGAGAAATATGGGCCCCGTGAATGCCTCCCTTCCAAAGTGCCCCCCGCTTGCAAGACGAGTTCAGCTCTCGTAAACTTAAGGCTTGGCCATCTTCTATGGAGTCAGTTCATCGTATGTTTGGCTGTCCTTCTCGTCTTCTGCCTTCCACTCTCCCTCATGTGCTTGTCTTCCCCAGTGAGCCTTGCTTTCCCAGGATGTGTCCAAAGTATGGCAGCACCAGGTTCATCATTTTTTATTTTTTTGCATCCAGGACAAGTTCTGGCTTGATTTGATCTAAGATCCACTTGTTCAACTTCCATTCAGACCAGGGGATTTGCAGAGCTCTCCTCCAGAATCATGCTTTGAAAACATCTATTTTCTTCCTATCAACTTTCTTCAGTGCCCAGCCTTCTCACCAATCAGTGATCAGGAACAGCAGGAATGATCTCAGCCTCGGTCTCCAGTGAAATGGGCTTGCACTTGATGATCCAGTACAATATGAAGATGTTCAGTGAACATATAGGTGAAGCTGGTACATGTAGGTGATGCTGCCACTCCGAGAGCTGCTGTGCCTAAAAGATGGGCAGGTAATCAGGCAATGCAAAGTCGAGGACATCTGGGGAAAAGCAACATGGCATCCCGGGATGTTAGAGCCTTGGAGATGTTTCATCAGAGGGAGCTGCAAAGCCTTGTTAGACCAGCCTCTCAGGTTCCCAACAAAAGATCCTTGTGACATCCACATCTGTGCTTGCTATTCTGGCCTGGGGATGATTGAAGACAGACCTGGATTCTGGCAAGATCTGTGCCTGTCTGCCTTATGCGCTCAAGGTGAACATCTCCTCGAGTGGAGGATGCCTTGGAACATTCTTAAGAAAAAAGCCCAAGAAGGTAGTCCAGGCAAATATTAGAAGTTTTAGTAGAAACATGAACATGATGTGAGGCTACTTGAACCTTTCGCGGCTGCTTGAGGGGACCTACCTGACAGGGCAAGAAAGAGCTGGAGTGGGCGACTCCCATGGAAGGACAAAGCTACAGAGGGCACTGACTGCATTTTCCGATGCTGCTCTCTGGCTCCAGTGGGAGACTTCCTCCCAAAGCAGCAGCACGTCAGGGGAGCAATTTCTGTCAGAACCGCAGCAGGAGAACACCAAGTTAAACGCCCCATCCCTACTTCTGCACCCCCTGGAATTATCAGGCCCCCTCCAGCCGCTGCTCTTGGCATTCTTAAAAGGGGGCACTTTAGATACAAGTGCTCAGTGCTGCTCAAAGTCTGGCTCATGCAAGTGCCTCGAAAGCAGAGGATGGACCTCCAGAGCTCCTCTTGGACCTCCTTCTTTACTCAGTTGTGATTTTATTATATATCAGTAGGCACAAAAGTGATTTATAAATACTTGGATTAACAGGGCAACTCTTCAATTAACCTCCTGATGACAGAAAGTGCAGGGAATCAATGCCAAGCTGCAGATGGGTTTTCACACTTGAGCCCCTCTTGTGACGGGGGGAAGCTTCTGTAAGAAGCACAATGAATAGTCTGACCACTGAGTAGTCGGAGCAAAGCAGACGCCGGCCACGTCTCTGCCAGCGGCTGTGCAACCCTCCTGCAGAACTATTTAGTCAAACCAGCCTCAAGCAAGTCAGCAGGCAAAATAGCAAGGAAGAGGCATTCATTAAGAACTAGCTGTTCCCTTGAAAACCTCCGAGCTGCGGGCAGTGGCAGCAACGCACAACACGGCCAAGCCCCCATGTCCCTGAACCGCGTCCTGTGGACAGCAGCCTAATGACTGGCAGGCCAAATTGCTGGCAAGCGGGCAAGCCAGCAATTGTAGCTGCTGCATGGAGAAGGAGGACCAGGGAGCTGAGCCGACAATAGCAAACGCATTACAAGCTAATCGCAGAGGCAATCTCCGGAGCACCACGCCTCTCCGGCAGCAACGGGACCCCTGCTCCACATTAAGTGTGAGAGCACCTTTTCGATTTCTCCAGCCACGGCAGGGGTAAAACAACCCAGTGTGCGAAACCCACTGACTGGTAATAAATTACTAGATTGGAGGCCTTTTGTTTTCCTCCAGCAGTGGCTTTGCTGTGCATTCCCGCTATCATGCCCAATTAAAGTGGAGATGGCTTCCACAAGCTCCACCTCGTAACTGTGCTCCAGTCCCTCTGCTCCAATTGCTCGAGCAAGAAGCACGAGGTCGAGAAGCTGCTCTGACCTTTCCGGGCTGACTCCCCCTGACCACTCGCTATGGGAAGCAATCTCCACTGAACAGATGGACACTTTGGCAGACTCTATAAAGCTAAAGAATATCAAGATAAATGGAATTGCGCTCCCACCTCCCAGCCAGTTTATGAGCATAAAATATTGCTTCGCCAAATCAGCAAACATTTTGAATTGGAAAGCCCACAACCCAGAGAGCCGTTTATTCTTGATTATACGGCTAGCAGAAATTTCATTTAGTGAT